GAAATTTATTTTGTTATTATTAGATATATAAATTTGGAAATTGATAAATATGGAGTACAAAATAAAAATGGCAGGAATCACTTATCTTTGTTCAAGTATATGTATTGTGTATTTATCTTGAGTGATTGCTATGAAGTTGCCTTTTAGGATCTTTTGAGAATTTATTTGAGAATTAACAGTTATTGTAACTATATAAAAATAAACTGAAAACCAGTATATTATTTTTGAGGTAACAAAATGATCGTGTAGCAAGTTTTAACTCCTGTCCAAGTTTAATTTTACAGTTGGTATGTATATATACATAAAGCTTTCACGTCTATAAAAATCAATAAATTACTACATGAGATAATAGATATCTTCTTACCTGGACATAACAAAATTAGTAAGACTTATTCTTTAAATTAGAAAGGACCACACAATTTGGTAGTGAACCAAGTCAGATATACTTGGTGATTGACATGTTTCAATTTGTCCAATGTTCTACTGAAGTCGTGACTGCATTCTTCAACAGTATGAGGTCTAAGTGTTGAAGCAAAAGGCAACCAAGAGAAAAGTAAAAATAGTTTTATATTCATTTAAGTACATAGCATGCAAATTCCCTGGAAACTAACTCACAAGCTAACTCACTGTGAATTCTGTAATCTGAATAGAGCAGTTGCATATACATGTGAGAAAGAGATGAGCTATTTCTTCTATCAAATAACATTGATCATATTTCAATCTGGAATAATGTTGCCAACATAAGGTTGATGATGAAGAACATTGGCAGGCCAAATCAATCTGGTGGTAGCTTGTTACTATTGAATGATGAATACCGTGAATTCACCGTGATGGATAAATCTCACGTCAAATCAGACAAGATTTATCAGATGAATGACATATTAGGTCAGCATCTTAAATTGCTTTCTCCTGTTCCAGTAGGTCTTTGCGATGAATGATAAGTTTCATGAACTGAGATATGTCTCTTACATCAGACCAGATATAATAGATTTATGCAGTTAATCAACACTTTCTTGTAAATAGTATTCCCAGATAAGTTAACTATTATGTAATGATACAAAGCTGCAATGATAAGTATGATTCCTGGGATCAATTTCTCTCGAGGCAGCAATGACACTTGAAATAAAGGCGAAATTTGTTGTACGTCCTTCTCTCCTACTACACATTCCTGCTCAAATCAAGACACTAGTGAAGAACACTTCTCATGGTCCATGTTTGTACATATCCATAACTCAGAGGAACATGCATTTTACATAATGATAAGTTGGAAACAAGCAACTGTTATATCTCTAAGTTATTTAGGCCTCAACTTCTTAAAGTGCCTCTCTATCATCTCAAAGTAGTGGTAAAGTACACTCTACCCTCTCGAGAACCAATGTAGAGGGATTTTACTGGGTACGTCGTTGTTGTTGTTTTACCTTCTTGATAGTTAAATCTGTTGGATGTCTTCTCTACGTTCTAAATGTGCAATACCAGGGAAAATTTACAGTGGTGAAAAGGATTAAATTTCCTACTGAAGCAGTGACAATTATGGTTGACATATATGGTTCAGAAATGGAACACGATACACTTCCCCAGCATTAATCCTCTCATTTAACTATTTTCTCATAGAAACTTCAGGAGCTGAAAGTGACATAGAAAAATAATTTTGTTATGCTAAAGTTTATTACATACTACATAGGGCTGAGGCTTAAAGGACTAAACATAATGGATAACCCAAACACAATTAAAAGGGTTGAGCAATGGTTTAGTCTAAATTAATTATGATATTGTACTCTCTTTTTTTAACTTTAAATTAATATAAGAAAAAGAAATACAACGTCACAAGAATATTTAAAAAGTTAAATCTCATTGAGCACCTGATCTTTAAAAGGTTTACAATTATAATACTTAAAATTTCAATCCTTAAGATTATAGAAGATAACACTGAAATCGTGGAGTACTACATTTACATAACATATTTGTACTTTGTCTTATTCAACAAATCTTTGAAGAATCTTGACAAAAGTACTTCGGTAACTTGCATATTTAAGTAGGTTACAAAAGAATTATTTTAACATTCTCATAAAAGTCCACAGATATAATGAGGTATCTGAGGACTTTAGTGGAGTTGGATCTCTTTCTTATAGATCTAAAGCTAAATGACAACAATGTTCATTATTTTGGGAACTCAAATACATTGTATGATACTCCTATCTATGTAATTGTTCACGTTTTCGCTATTTCCTTGGAGGAGCTCGAACCTAAGAGTAGAAATATATGCGTCAGTAATAAATCTATTAGTAAGATATCAA